TGGATAAAAAGCTCTTCTGAATTCACCTGTCAGCACCCTGAGGCTTACAGACCTCTATTCCCAATATTTTTTCTTATTGTAATAGTAATTAATTGATGTAAAAAATTAAAAGTATAAGAGTGTATGAAAACAAAAAATATTCTATAATCTTACCAGAGATCATCACCTAAGGTCTTAGCATGATATATATATCATACAGCCCTATTATATGTTATTACTATATTCTATAATAAATCTGATAAAAATACATATTATATAACCTTAACATGTATAATTAGTATCCTTTTTTTACTTTATTTTCCTGTTTTGCTTTTATGTCACTTTTCAAAGAGATTTTGTCTTTCAGGTAGTTAAAATTGAATTGCCAGATCTTTATGCCAGGCTGGGAGGGCATGCAGGCGGAGTGGAGCCGGGGCACCCACCCGCCCCACATGTGCCTTCACGCGTTCATTCACGTGTACACACTCACACACAGGTACAGACGCTTCTCTCCCCACTCTGCAGCCCTAGGCATCATACACTCACATAGACATTTCACATTATACCCTCAAAGTTACTAATAGGATTTTATTATTTAAGTGTAAAATAAGTTTCCCCCCCCTCATTCCCATTTCTCTTAATTCTAAGAAAAAATGCCACCAGGAGACCCAGGAGGGTGGCCACACTGGGGTGAGCCCTAGCTCCACAGCCCTGGCTACAGACTCTTCTCCCCACCCTGGCCGCCCCCTCCTCTCCCTTGCCCTAGGGCCTCAGTCACTCTTCTCCTCTGTGGGCTGGGGCTGGTGCTCTGGATAAAGGCCATCCCTCCACAGGTGGTAGGTGATGGCATTGGTCACGGTGAGCCAGGCCAGGTAGGGCAGCAGTAGCAGGGAGGCCAGCTTGTTGATGGGGTGCCAGATCAGTGCTGTGCTCAGCACCAGCCCATACAGCAGCAGCAGGTGCAACAGGACCTGGACAGAGAGGCAGGTTTTTCAGTCGGCTGTCCTGGGAACTGGCCCCTCCACCTTTCTGCAGCACCCTGGCACAACAATGAAAGAGCTAAGTCCCCAGGGCTCTGTGCACACGATGGGAGCTCAGAGAGGTCTGCCCACCTGTTACCTGCCTGCACCCGATTGATCTGCTGAATTATGCTTCTGGGGCCTAGTGCTTTCACCTTCTCCTACACTACATCCACCACTGAGCACCGTGTGCCTTACCAGACCAGGGTTGTGGCCTGTGAAAAAGAGAACCAAGACCATCCAGCTGATGGTGAGCTGTACAGCATAGAGGCCGAGAGGCAGGGCCAGGGGCCGCCCAAAGCCCCCTCCCAAGTCGTTCCACACCAGGTAGGAGGCATAGCTGTGGAGAGATGGTGGCAGAAACACTCAGCAAGAGGGGGTTCCATGGCAAATGGAGGAGGCCCTCTGGCCTCTGGTAACCAAGGACTCGTTGTTACCCTTGTGGGCTGAAATGGGGCAAGTGGGTCTTGGCATCATTGGAGGGCCAGGGGAGTTGGTGGGAGGAGTTAGGCACAGTGAGGTGGGTGAGGGGACAGGGAGACTTGGAGAGGGAGGAAGAAGGGCTAGCTGGCATCCCAGGCCGGCACAGAGGATCTCTGTCTGTGGGGCCCACCGTAAGAGGCATGAAGGAATGCCTTCCCTTTGGAGGCCAGTATGTGGCAGTAGCTCAGACACGGAGGACTTGTTCCCACCCCAGCGAGCACCAGGGCTGTGTGGAGAACGATTGCTCACCCCATGACAGAGTAGGTGGTTGTCCATATAAGCAATAAGACTTTGCGGGGCGGGCACCAGGACAGCATCATTGGGCCCTTACACCAACCGAACATCTGATTATTAGTGAACAGCCAGACCAGGATGGGCCCCAGATGGGGAAGGACCACAAAGACGGCCCCTTGAAGCTGCATTCACCTTGAGGAGGCAAAATCTGCAGAGTCAGAAATATGTAATATGAATCTTCCCCCAGTCCTTTCCCGGTGTCTCCTTGTCTATCTCCACCTCCTAACCTGATGCTATTCCCTGGCATCTCACAGGAGGCCTAGTTATAGAGGCCTTTCCCCACCACCCCAGCCCGGGCCCATATCCGGTCCTGCTCCTCTGAGCCATCTCCACCCAGCCCTCACTGCCTTGCCCACTTTCTGGCTTCCATAGATTTCTTTTCTTCACACCACTCATTTGGCACTTGGAGGATACCGTCCAGCATTGGTAACTGCTTCTCAGTAGATTTCCCTCCATGTGCACCTGACTCCCGGAGGTCAAGTCCACGTGTAACCACCTTTTTTACCTCCCACAGAGAGCAACACTTGGCCAGGTACGTAGCAGGCCCTTGACGAGGACAGTGTCTTACCTAAGCTGACAATAACCAACCTGGAAGGACCACGTTCTGAAGACAGGCTCTAGAGAGTCCTGGGGCTCTTTCCTCGTCACGAATGGGCCAGCCCACCTGCCCCACCCTTATCTCACAAGTCCAGACTGGAGCACTCAAGGGACCCACCCAGGCTAATCTCCTGCCCAAATTCAAACTTAGCCTACCGACCTTGGATGCCTTTCTCTGAAGCCTTACCTCACTTCTACCTGGAGCCTTGGGAAATGAGCCTGCCCCTACATCTCTCCATTTCTATAGGGTCAGTCTGCAAACACAAGTGGACAGATTTCTTGTGGCCTGATTTCTCAAGGAAACAACTGCCTGGTCTTAGATTAATAAGCAGCGAGGCTCATTTGCATGTTGATTTACATGTCATTTGCATGAGAGGCAGTGTATAGTCCCTCCTCCAACCAAGGCCCCTGCCCAATATCATTCTTCTCATTTGCTTATGATATTTCAGCCTCCCCACCATGATTGATGGGATTTGAAAGGGGGAAAAATCTGATTATTTTTGGTGTTCTGGACTGATTGCCTAATCTATCTTTTTCTGTCAAGGGTCAGGGACATTAGTCCTGGAGGGTCCTGGGACAGGGCTGACCAGCATACCTGCCTGTGCATCTTTCCACTTGTCTTTCTCTGCTCCTCACTGTCCATTTGCTCACCTGCCTGCCTCTCTCTGTTTTTCTGTTCCTGTCCAGTGTTGGAGGCCCCGCTCTCTGTCCCTCCCTACACCATCCTCTCCCAGGCCAGGAGCCTGATCATATGTGATGTGTGAAAGGCAGGGGAGGGTAGGGAGTGGGGAGAAGGGTGGAGCGGGGTTCACAGCTGGTCTGCCTTTCTCAGACAGTGACAACGGTGATGACACTGGCTTGTGTGGCCCCAAAGCGTTCCTCTCAGCAGGGGTCTTCCTGGCAGACTCTTCTTGGTGCCTGGCCTCTGGAGGGTAGCTCTTGATGGAATGTTTGAGGAGTTGTGGTGAGGGTTCGACACTGTGAGACCCGGGCCTGCAGTGACAGCTCAGGCAGCCCCAGGCTACGAGGCTAATGATGCCTGTGGTCTCCGCATCCCGTGAACCAGCTCTGTGTCCGTGGGTAGGGGCCCTCAGATGCTTCCAGAGCCCTACTGTAACCGGGATCGTCCCCAGGTGAGGCAAGCACCAGCCTTGGAAGTGAGTTCATGATCCGTGAACACAGCCCCTGGTCACAGCCTCCTGGTTGGCATGACTTGGACTCTAGCTTTCACAAACCCCTAGGACTTTGTGACTCAGAGAAGGCAGCCGACAAGTGGAGGTGGGTGGGGTATCAGGCAGGAGTGGCCTGGTGCTTCCTGGCAGAGTCCTGCCTCCCAGCTGCCCTAGAAAGGGGTAGGGGAGGGTGCCCTGTCTGTTGACAAAGTCCAGCCTCCTGTGTGACTCAGAGCTTTGTCCAACAAAGACGAACACCCCCCCTACATTCCCTATCAAAGTTCTGAGCACCCCTTCCTTGCTGGTCCTCTAGGCATGAGGCCTTCTTCCCGGGTTGCCCGCTCTCCACTGGTTCCTCTGCTACAGCTCAGCACTTTGGGGAACTGGGCTCCCCTGGGAGGTTTATCCCACCCTCTCACCTCCCCCAGGGAAGAAGCAGAGGGGAGGGGGTTGCAGTCGGGGACAAGAGGTGAGAGAATCATTAACTGAGATGAAAGCAGAGGAAGTTACTTATTTTCTATGAGAGATGATAAGTGGGGTTCTCGGGGAGTTCACCAAGGTTCCTCAACTGCAGGAGGCCACGCCATACTGATTAGTTACCATTTATCCAGCAGCCATTCTGTGGTGGGCACTTTATACTCATTGGCTCACTGATGACAGTTAGTATCCCACACAAGGTGGGAATTTTTATCTGCATTTGACAGGCAAGGAATTGAGGCGCAGAGGGTCAAAGTACCTTGTCCGGGATTACACAGACAATGCATGGCTCGCCTGGGTTGTATGCATCCTCTTCTCTCTCAGCTCCGTTCAAGAAGTCTTTATTGAACACCTACTATATGTATCAGGCTATACCAAGAGCTGAGGAGACAGCAGAAAGCAGAGGGAAAAAGTCCCTCTCCATAGGGAGCTTTCATTCCAGTGGCGTCATCGCTCTCTCCTAGGCAGAGTTTCTAGGAACGGGGGATGGCAAATGACCCCCAAGTTCAGCTCTCCCCCAAGGGGCAGTGCCCCTCCCAATTCTGAGCGTGGGAGTGGAAAGAGCGCTGAGTGGGGAGAAGGTACGGGGACATCCCAAAGGCACCAGCATCTTGCGAGTGGTTAACCCTCTCAGCGCCTCCACGGGCTTCTCTACGCAGGAAGGGGATGGAGCTAGAGACTGCCTAGCTCCCTGGACCAGCTGCACTGGCATCACCGGGAGCTTCTTAGAGCTGCAGAATCTCGGTCCCTACCGAGACCTACAGAATCGCAACCTACATTTTAACAAGGTCCCCCAGGTAATTCTTATGTACATTATAGCTTAAGGATCTCTGGTTAAGGTTCTCTTCTTGTTTTCTGCCACTTTAATAATAGCCACCGTCTGGGGACAGCCGCTCGCCGGCAGAGGGCACTGTTGGGAGGGGTTCTTTCTTTCTTTTTTTGGAGGCATGGCTGGGAGGGGTTTCCAGGTGCAGCACCTAGGTTGTCTCCCCCAGCCCCCGCTCCTTTCCAGACCTAGACTGGCAAGTTCACTGACTTTTGGGATCCTCAGCTACTCCCTTGTCTCGGCTGGACTTTGTCAACAGATGGGGACACTCTCCCCTACCCGTCTTTAGGGTGGCTGAGAGGCAGGATTCTCTGCCGGGAAGCGCCAGGCCACTCCTGCCCAGATCCCCACCCACCTCCACTTGTCTGCTGGCCTGGCAACTGGGTCTGGCTGACCTGTTTCTCACATAAGCTAGCAGCTCCTGACAGCACCTAGACAGTAAGGTAAGGTGAGCACCACCTGGGGCAGCTGGGGGTGGGGTGGGCATTGCCTGGGGCTCAGGGGAGGAGCCAGACCAGCTCAGCTCGACTGCCAGAGTGTGGGGACCCTCTGCTGGAGGAGGGGAGGAAAACGGGATTTGGGGAAGGGCCACTGTAGATGGGTGTGAGGACTGGGGATAAGATTCTATGTCCTGTGGAAATATATACTGTACTAATGAATGCTCCCCATTGCTTACATTTGGACTCATCCATCCCAGTACTTTATGTCCTGCAATAACTGGAGACCTAGCAGGTGTTGGGGAGGCACAGCAAGAACCAATGGGATAGGGAAGGGTTGAGTGTTTCCTTAAAGGGTACGGGTAGAACTTTGCAGCAGGAGTCTAGATCTTTGTGCTGGAAGAGGCAACTGCCTAGGGACAGGTGATGGCAGCATCCTACAGGGCCCTCATTTTGGGGGGAACCGCTACCCAGGATTACCTGGGGGCTGGGACAAGACACCTGGAGGAGTGGTAATGAGGAGTTCAGCCGTGGGTCTGGGAGGCTCCAATCCACACTCGAATGGCTACAGACTATTCAAGTGCTGAGTGCTGTAGACCCCACTCAGCAAAACTTGGGAAGCTTTCCCCTCTTGCGGCCAGGGGGAGGATAGCACGAGGGTCAGGGAAGCCTGGAAGAGCTGTCAGCCTGGGAGACCCAGGGCTGAACTGGGGGAGGAGTTAACCTGCTTCAGGCCAGGTAAAAGAATGGGTTCCTGGGAGAGAGGCTCAGTGGGGCTTTGGGAGAGGTGCATGCCAACTGCCCCAGCTTGGCAGGCTGGGAAAGGGGACACCACTGTACCACCCAGTGTGGTGGAGGGGATTTGGGCTCTGGTCTTTCGGCAGCCCCAGGAAGGTGGTTGCTGTAGACGCAGAGTGGACCCCTCCTTCCCCAACTTAACCGGCCCAACCCCCGCCCCCGGGGCCCTGGGGGCCAAGGGGGAAGGGGCAGCAACAAGGAAACGAAGAAGGGCCCTTAAGTCCCTCTGGTTAATTTTAACTTAATTTTGCCTCCTTCCGCCCCAACTCAATTCCTCCAAAACAAGGAAAGAAAAAAACCAAGAAAAAAAAAGTGGTGGGGAGAGAAAGGGGGTGTTTCTGGAAGTCCTTGTCATCTGTGCTCATCTTTCCTTTCTGCCTTCAGTTATTTAATAATCCCCCATCCACCCTCACTGTGGGGAGAAAACTTGGCTTCCTTATCTGTGAAATGGAGATAAAAATAATATGTAGCTCATAAGGCCGCTGTGAACATTAAGTGAGATAAGCCATACAGAGTGCTTTAACACGTGGCACACAGTAAAGCTCCGTGCATGTTAGCCATAATAATATTATTATTATTACAGTTAGAATTATGATTATTACTAATGTGGAAGGACCAAAAGGAATGGGTGAGACATAAGGGGTAGCTTGCTACTCCACCCCCATCTCAACAGATCTGGGCCACTGCCAACTCACCCGATTCGCTCTTGTATGCCCTGCAAGAGGCCTGGCTGAAGAAGGCTGGCGTATTGTCTGCAGGGCTGGATTTTAAGGCAAATGGAACAATGCCATTTGCCCTTCCTGCCCACATTTTCAGCCAGGCCATGAAGGAAACAGGTCCTGCCTCAGTCTTTAATCCTGAGGACACAGAGGAGCTTCTGCCCCTGTCTGGGAGGAGCTAGGAAGGGGGCTCAGTTTTCATGGGTCCCAGGGAAGGAAGGAAGGAAGAAGGCAGCACAGCCTCAGCTGCAGGTGGGGGTTGCGAGTGGAGGGAGTGGGGAGGACCCGAGTGAGTCAAACAGAGGGGCCTCCCAGGACTTTGGAAGAAGACTCCATGCCTCATGGGACGCAGCTAGTGAGCGAATGAACTGCAGCCCCTCGGAAGCTCCTTGAGAGCAGAATAAGACGTCGTCTTTGGCAGGACTGAACTTCCCACGGTGCCTGATACACAGCGGTGCTCAGAAAATGTTCACTTGAGTGGAAAAACCACACGTGCCAGCATATAATCAAGAGTTACTCAGTGTGGGGGGATGGCTGTAGAGAGAGCGCTCAGGGAGCGGGGAGACTGTCAAAGGCTGGTGCGCCAGGGGGAGGCGCTATTGAACAGGAGGGGTGCACGTGGGTAGATGAAGCGGCGGGGAGAGCAAGGGAGGGAGAAACAGAAAACGGCGTGAGCGAAAGCCGAGGCTTGAATTAAGTAGGCGTGGGGAGCCAGGGCGGCCAGAGTGTGAGGCGTTGGAAATTAAGGGGGCTGGAAGAGGAGAGGTGGGAGGGGGCGGGGGCTGCTGAGAGT